GCCACAGCTTTTGAACAATGCTGAATGCTCTCCACAAAGCTATGCTTAAGGCTTTGGCTCTTTAAGTCTTAAACATTATGGGTGTGATACTCACTTACTGGCTTTTTAACACAGTGGACAAAGGTGCTTGAAAAAAAAAATGTAGCTCTCTAGGATATGATAGAAAAAAATAAACTGATGTCACACTCAATATTTTACTCATTTTTTCCACTAAATACGTATGTCCTCAATGGCCCCCAAGATGATATTATGTAGCATCTCTTATAGTTCAAAGGTGACATTCTGTAGCAGGGAATTCACTTCTAACTGGACAGCATTATGAACTATTTAAAAACTTTCCTAAAAGGTTAAAACAGGCCGTAAACTGTATCTGGGGACAAATCTTACGAGGCTTTCAAAGGCTCTGTTATAGATCATTTAGGAAGATTAAAGAAACCCCCTCTACCTATGAGAGTTCCTTCTCAGTCATTGTAAGGCTCCATTAAACATGAAAAGAGGCCCTTACTGTCTACTTTCCAACTACAGATTTCTATCTCTCCACAAATTGTATCAGTGGCTACTTTACTTTCAACTTTTAAAACTTGCTTTCTTATTACCTCGTTTTACCTGTGAATGCTATTAGAAGCCATATATAGAAATGGAAAGTACAGCTCCATTGTTCTTTTGAGTCTGGATCTCATGTCCCTTTCTTTCCCTCTTTTTCTCTCTCAAATGTCAAGTGTACAAACTTAGATGACTAGGATGTCAGGCAAAGAAGCTGCGGTGGGGAGGGAGGGGCAGGGGGCTTGGAACGAAGGATCTGGGCAGGAATGCTAGAAAGAGAGGGCAACAGGAGTAAGTACAATGGCATTTTTAAAAATTTCAGGAAGCAACTAGGGATTCAGAAATGGATTTCTAACTGGCACGGGAAAGGAAAAAGACCTATATATTTGGGATTAATACAATCGCTCTACATATGGGAAAGAAAGGCATATAACCTTTGCAATGTGTAGCCAACATCTGGGAATTCTTTTACCTAAATAAGTTTGGAAGGATATCTTCTCCGAAATAAGCCACTCTGAGGATGTTAGGGACCAGGCTAAACAGGTCAAAGTACATTGTGTTAATGTCTCTAAGATTTTTTTTTTTAATTTTATTTTAAATATTTATTCTTGAGAGAGAGAGAAAAACAGAGTGTGAGTGGGGGAGGAGCAGAGAGAAAGAGAGGGAGACACAGAATTTGAAACTGGCTCCAGGCTTGGAGCCTGTCAGCACAGAGCCCGATGTGGGGCTCGAACTCACAAACCGTGAGATCATGACCTAGGCCGAGGTCAGGCACTTAACTGACTGAAGCACCCAGGCGCCCCCAGATTATATTTTTAAGCAACCTCTACACCCAGCGTGGGGCGCGAACTCACAACCCCAAGATCAAGAGTTACATGCCCCACTGACTGAGCCAGCCAGGCGTCCCTGTGTTAATGTCTCTGAAATCTATGTGTATATCAGCGATCTTTCCCAAAAATGTTTCCATTTGTAAAAATCCTAAAACAAATCTAAACCTGAGCTGTGGGGATGATGTACGAATGTGGTATACAGATAAAATGTGCTATTTTACAGGGAAAAATGAGTAAGCCATTGAGGATGGCTGTCGAAACACATTAGTTAGACGGGAATCAGTAACGCAGAGTGTAGAAAGTCAGAAAGGTGCTTCCGCCTGGTTGAAAAGTGACTGATGCGTATCTCTATAAATGTTTGGACTTTTCCTCCCCCCCAGAAAGAATTCTTGCTTAGAAGGAGCCGAGTCACAAGCTCTGCCCCTTAGGTGTGGTGAGAACTCGTATTGGCAGGTGGTTAACGAGCGGCCCTTTCCCCATTTTAAAATTCTGCACGTGAAAAATTGAGGATTATTAGAGAAGCCGGCTACAGAATTATAACAAGAAGATAGAAACGGATCGAGGAAAACAGACTGACTCTGTATCTTAAAAGAACACCGATTTTCAGAGTCTTTGTTGGGCAGAGGTGCTGTAAGTGGGAAAAAAATTGGTTATTCTTCATTGAGGAAAGAACTAAATACAATGAGTTTAACCATTCAGTTAAACGGCTCTGTGAAAATTGTGATCTTGAGAAACAGAGGGAGTCACCTAGCAAAAGTATGTGAAGAGCAGGCTGTGTGACACGGAGTCCCTCATCTAAAGGGGGTCTGGCCTTTTCTAAGTGGAAAGGGCACAGAAGTGAAAGCGTTCTGGTGAATTCCAGAACAAAGCATCATTTACTTCTTCCTGTTTGGGTGCCTCCCACTTTGTCCGGGACTTTTCTTCCCCAAGTGCCCTTCCTCCCAGCATCCTTCTTCACCCTTCCCCTTCCCTAATTATGTGTTACCTCAGATTTTAGGTGGATTCACCGGAAACAATCCAACTGCATTCAAAACAATAATACTGGAATCACCGCTTAAAGGTTTTTGTTTTTTTTTTCCCTCATTAAATTTCTGCTGCAGCAAACGGACTAATCTGTTCATTTTTGGGAAAGACTTTAGGTAAGACACAGTATGGTTAAATGACGACCACTCTCACCCAGCAAATTTGGAGGAGGCCGGTGAGGATGACAGTCTCCTTTTTATTGACTGCTTACCACGTGCCACATCCTGTTGTACAAACTCTTCATGTATTTTCTCATTCTTCTACTAATGCTGGGTGGCGGGTAGATATTAGCCTTATTTTAGAGTTAATGAAACACAGGCACAAGCTCAGAGCCTCAAACAGGGGCTGGCAAACGACGGCCCGTGGATCAAGCCTGACCCTAAAGTTTTTCTGGAAAATCCAAACCCATTCGTTGACATAGTGCCTGTGGCAGCTTTTGAGCTACAATGGCAGAGCTGAGCAGTTGTGAGACCTTAGGGCCCAGAAAGCCTAATATTTACTCTCTGGATCTTTATAGAAAAACTCCACCAAAGCCCAGTATAAAACATGGTTAATTCACTGATTTAAAAAAAAAAAAAAAAAAGGCAAGAACTTGTGGGCAGCTTGGAATAGAACTTTTACTGAAACTTTCTTAGAAACAAATATTCTAGGGGCGCCTGGGTGGCTCAGGCAGTTAAGCATCCAACTTCGGCTCAGGTCATGATCTTGCGGTTCATGAGTTTGAGCCCCATGTGGGGCTCTGTGCTGACAGGTCAGAGCCTGGAGCCTGCTTTGGATCTGTGTCTCCCTCTCTCTGCCCCTCCCCTGCTCGTGTTCTGTCTCTCTCTCTCTCAAAAATAAACAAACATTAAAAACTAAAAAGAAATATTCTGTCTTCATCGGTCCTTTCGTGTTCAGATCTTACCTATCTCCTCTCACTAAAGTTTATCAACCAGTCTCAGAAAAAATAGCAGTGTTCCTGGAACACCAGTGCAGTAACTACTGGTTTCCTTCTTGGTCTGTGAATTTTGATCAGGTGAAAAGATTTCCAAGAAAGAAAAGAAAAAGGACAGACCAAAGAAAGCTTCAACAGCCATGACTTTCCCGAGAGGTTGCAAAATTTTTGGCAATTTCACAGGTATTTCTTCTCAAGTACAAATGACATCATTGCTGAAATTAAAAAGGAAATTGGCCTGGTGTATTCTACATTTGGTATCACATATTGTTTTGGTTGAGCATCAATTGATTTTTCTATTTTTACCGGGAAGTTATGTCATAACTATTTTTAGTAGACAGGGTCTGGTTCTGTCATTTATGGAACTCAACACACAATTATGCCTCAGAATTTTCTTCTAAAGCTCTAAGAATGCATATATTCGGGGCAGAATGTGCTCCTCAGCAAATATTCTCCTATACTCCAAAACATTTTAGATTAAAAAGTCTAAAACAGGACGTGGGTATTAGCAAAGGAAAGAACTTGGTATATTACCAGGAAGGAAAGTGGCTATAGCTTTATGACATAAATTTGCCTTGGAAATAATATTTTTAATCATCAATTGACAGGGAGTTAACATCTGTGCTGCTCTGGTAATTTTTACTTTATCCTTAAACACCTATCTATAAATCGGGGCACCTGGATGGCTCAGGTGGCTACGCGTCTGATTTCGGCTCAGGTCATGATCTCACAGTTCATGAGTTTGAGCCCCACATTGGGTTCTGCACTGACGGTGCAGAGCCTGCTTCTGATTCTCCGTCTCCTTCTCTTTGCCCCTCCTCTGCTCGCACACACACATTCTCTCTCTCTCTCAAAAATAAACATTTAAAAAAAATTAACAAGAAAAAAAAAACGATCTATAAGTCAAAGTCAATTAATAACTCAATCTCCAGAGTACGTGGTTTGGCCCATAAAGCTGAGCTCAATTCACACGGAGCCAAAGAATTTAAGCAAACTTGTTTGTAATAAAAGTGACCAGAAAGTAAATGCCTGAGACAAGATAAAGCCCACGGTTTTTCCCTTCCCTCTACCCCCTTCCCCCAACACCAGCCAATAGAGAATAGCATCGAACAGAGGCTCCCAAGCTCGCCTGAATCTCTTGGGGATCTTCCACAATCTCTCTGCCTGGGCCATACCCCAGGCTCATGAAATCACAGTCTCTGGAGGCGGGACACAGGGATCAGTCCCGGTCTGGGAAGCTCCCAGACACCAGTAGATAATTGTGATTAAGGTGCAGATAGCCTGAAGGACTCAGTCAGGCTACCCCAGACATCTGCAGGTCGGGGCACTTAATGTGCTCTGGCACCTGCGAAGCACTTGGAGCTCTTTGGTGTAGGAGTTACTACCATAATGTACTGGCGGGGGTGGGGGGCAGGGGGTGCACTGGTCCCAGCAGTCTTGCTTCTAACACGTCATTAGCGCGTTAATGCAAATTATCAAGAGGATTTTAACACAATGCGTATGGCCTTTGGGTTCCTCTTAAGTTACCATCGTTGGAACATTCACCCTACTTCTGCATCTTGGGAGACAACGCATCTCTGATACCTGGCTTTGCTCTTTATTTTGCAAGCATATTTCTCCTGCGTGACCAACTTTGAAAGACCAAAACCGAAGGAAAAACTGCGCCTTACCTCCACGATGCTTTTCAAGTCTTGCACGTAAGTCCTTTCGGTCTCCAGAATTTCCTGGACAACCCTATCCACATAGAGGAGCTTGGGGCTGGTGGCCGACTCCGCACCCGGCTGGGTCGCCCCGTTGGCCTCCATTCTGCGCTGGGCCCGGGGCTGCCCTTCGTCGCCCTCGTCGGCGTTCTGTTGCCCGGCGGCGCTGTCCCTCTGCAACTCGCCGCTGGAAAATGGCCTGGCCGGAATCAGCTCCAGTTTTATGGCCCCGGCTTCCTTATCTTGGTGAAACAAGCCCAAGTGGCTGTTCGAAACTAAGGTCATTCTGCTGCCGAAGGAGCCATGGCTGTCCCTGGAAGAGGCGGAGGACGACGTGGAGCCGAAGCTGACGGGGCGGTCACTGTCAGAGAGCTCCATGGCCTTCAGTTCCTGGGAGCGGGGATGCCTGGCTATGGTCTTGGGATCTGGAATTTCTGCTACAGCTGATGGCACTTCAAGACCTAACTGGTGCACATCTACAGTCATTGGGGGTGGGAAGGAAAGAACAAAAGAAAGAAAAAGGACAAGGTGAGCACGTATTTTAAAATTGTATCAAACAAGGTTTAAAGGAGGTTAAAGCCTCGCCCAAATGTATATACTGTCAGAAGTAGAAAGGTGGTGAATTCCTTATAGAAGGAAATGCAAAGGCGCCCTTGGGCGGTTGAGTTGCAAAGTTTGAGTTTCTAAAGCATCAGCTGGGAGCAGGTGAGAAATGCAGAGTCTGGGGCACGACCTCTGCATTTTAACAAGATGCCAATGCCACTGGCGTACGCAGGAAAGCTCGAGAAGCACTGCATCCACCGCGGCAAAGTGGGATCACCTGGAACAACTCATACAAGCGGATTCGCCCAGATTTACTAAATTAAAGGCTCCGCGGTCAGGGCATAGGGACTCTATAGCTTTAACAAGCATCACGAGGGATTCTTACTTCAAACACACCCGACATGATTCTTACGGAATTTTATGCAACACTGTTCTACGTTTTCAGTATTGCACTCTAATTCCACAACAGTTTAAGCCACCTTCCTGCAGTCGTCACTATTTAACAGATGCTGACAATTTTACATTTTACTTGGAGACAGCATGAAAAAAAAATGTTGTGTGGATAAGCCTTTTCTAATACTGGGCAAGGAAAGCCAAAATAAAGACCCATACCTTCTCTCAAACTTCCTCTCTCAACACGACATTTCCCTCAATCTCTACTTGAAAGTTGACATCGTAATTGGGGTGTATATGAAGTTATGCTATGACAGAGTATATTTGTTTTTTTTTTTTTAATTTTTTTTTAACGTTTATTTATTTTTGGGACAGAGAGAGACAGAGCATGAACTGGGGAGGGGCAGAGAGAGAGGGAGACACAGAATCGGAAGCAGGCTCCAGGCTCTGAGTCATCAGCCCAGAGCCTGATGCGGGGCTCGAACTCACGGACCGCGAGATCGTGACCTGAGCTGAAGTGGGACGCTTAACCGACTGAGCCACCCAGGCGCCCCCCAGAGTATATTTGATTAACTACAACACCCCCCCCCAAAGTTAGATAACACGGCAGTGTAAATATACAATTAAGTAATATAGAAACTCGGTTATGAGAAAAATTATGCATTTTTAAAGAAATGGGGCTGTTAATGTTTAGAAGATGGCATTAAGAAGAGAATATCTAATGGCAAAGTCAAAAGGTCATTTAACATATGTAGCATTTAAATCTTGAGGCCCTACACAAAATTGAAACTCACAGAAGATATTTTGGGGAAACACACAAAGTTCCAATCTTCTTTGTTTGCAAGAAGGCAGGACAAACACTGTTTCCCCCTAATGAGATCCCAAGTTTACAGAACAATATACCTTGCAATAAAGAGCAGGCTGAATGAAGACATTTGCTTCATTTTGGCAGGTAACCTTACCAGCAGGATCCATGTGTACGGGTTTTGTTAGAAAACATATGAGTGCAACCTATGTTTAGAAGGTTATAACAAGACACACATACATTAGTAAGAAGGATCTAGATTAATAATCATTTTTTAAAAGGAACGTGAATTTGGTTTGACTCTATAATAAAGACTGTCAAACAGCTGGTAGCAATATTTCTAGAATATAAAGAATCCCATCAACTCTGTATCCTTCAATATCCCGAGTTTTTCTAGATAGTTTATATTTACAGCAAATATCAGTGCCAACGTGTAATGCGAATATTATAGATATAAAATAAAAGAACTAAATTGGGTCAACAAGAAGAAATGGTAAGAAATGTGTAGGAAATGAGTAATTTATCAGCATAACCACTACCACATGGTATAAGCTTGCCACAAATTTTTAAAGCTTTTGCAATATTCTTTCTGCTTGTTCTAGGACAACTTTATGGCCTATAAAACATGGATTGGTTATGGTAGTTAAAATGCACTTGCCCTAAAAAGCCTGATCCAACTTGAGTGTGGCAAAAATCCAAGAATCAGCCAGGCATTTAGGTGTGCTTACAGCAAAGGGCACTTGCCCACATTTGGGACTGGTGCTAATAACGTCCTGGGCAGTTGGAAGTAGAAGCAGACTCATCAAGGTTTTCTTCCCCTTATGATGGCAGCCATCGTAATCATATGATTAACCATAATCATAACCATGAGGTTGATCTCACTTTAAAAATGGGCACTAACTTGGGAAGTACAGTATATGATTATTCTTTAAGGTCCCAAGGGTCCAATGAGGCAACAATGATTTCGTACCAGAAATAAGCGGGATATACTGTACATGTAAGCCAGGGCATCTGGAAAAGTCCAGATCAACCTAGTCTCCATAACTGGACACACCTTCCCTCCGGTATAGAAAACTACATTGAACAGTTCTGGAACTCTTGGCAGCTATCCATTATCCGTATTGGTGAAAATGAACACAATAGAGACTCACTTCTTTACTTACTTTGATGCGCCAATACCAGGACTGAGGGATTAAAGGGGAACAAAAGTGGCCAGATGCTTCAGAGGAGTCCATGCTGGGCTGCTAGGGACGACAGTGCCTTTAACTCTTTCAAAGATAGGGAAACTCGGGTCAACAGGTCCCTTCGTGAATACATCTTTTTTTTTTTTTTATGTTTATTGTTTATTTTTGAGAGAGAGAGACAGAGACAGAGCGTGAGTTGGGGAGGGGCATAGAGAGAGGGAGACACAGAACCTGAAGCAGGCTCTAGGCTCTGAGCTGTCAGCACAGAGCCCGATGTGGGGCTCGAACCCACGAACCACAAGATCATGACCTGAGATGAAGTTGGATGCTTGATCATGACCTGAGCCAAAGTCGGACGCTTAACCAACTGAGCCACCCAGGTGCCCCATGGGTACATAGCAGCATGAATTGGTCCTGTTCCAGTTAAGGCTTCTTATATTCTAATACCAGGCTATGGGTTCTAGGCCACCGGGCCAACCTATTCTTCAGACTGCCAACCGGGCTCTTTTCAAAGAGAATATTTGAGATATTCGGTATCTGTAGTATTTAACCAAGTTTACTACCTCAAATTAAACACCTTCCAAAATTACCAATGACAGAAGTGAAACACTTAATGCTAGGTCATATAATGGTGTATAAATATGAGACTACATTTGCTAATGGATAACATTTTTTATGTTGATTCACTGCTTAGAAGATAATTATAGTTTCCACACCTAAGGAAATGGACCTCATAAAAACTGCCTCGTCTTGTTCTCACCTCCCTCAAAATAATTTAACATTTCCACCCTGTCTGGCCTATTCTTCCTGATACAGCAAACTGACTACTGATATTTATCTCCAGAGCTGACTGTTCAACACAATAGCCAGGAGCCGCACGCGGCTACTGACCGCTTGAAATGCAGCCGCTCCAAATGGAGATGTGTTGGAAGTGTAAAATATATACCAGATGTTGAAGGTTTAGTATGAAACAAAAAAGGACTAAATACCGCATTAATAATTTTACATGACTTACATGGAGCGATAATATTTGGGGAAAACGTGGGGCGCCTGGGTGGCGCAGTCGGTTAAGCGTCCGACTTCAGCCAGGTCACGATCTCGCGGTCCGTGAGTTCGAGCCCCGCGTCAGGCTCTGGGCTCAGAGCCTGGAGCCTGTTTCCGATTCTGTGTCTCCCTCTCTCTCTGCCCCTCCCCCGTTCATGCTCTGTCTCTCTCTGTCCCAAAAATAAATAAACGTTCAAAAAAAAAAAAAAGAAAAAAATTAAAAAACAAATATTTGGGGAAAATGGGTTAGCTAAAATACCTTTTAAAAATGATTCTCACTGCTCTCATTTTGCCTTTTTTAGCCTTGCTACTAGAAAATTACGAATTACATAGGGGGTTTGCATTATAGTTTAGTTGGACAATGATGATCTGGAAGTCTTCTAGATCATGAGATTCCTCTGGAAGATTTAAATTTACCGCTTTATCAACCTTTATTCAATAATAGTGAAGGGAGAGGTGCATAACACTCCAAGGTTGTCTTTCTCCCCCTCCATTCATCAATACACCATATTGTTACGAGTTAAGAAAAACAGTTGTAAGACAGTCGCTGTGCGCTAGATATTGGGGTAGCTGATGTCCCATATACACAGAAACACCCAGACACAAAGCTGTAAAGCACGAAAGCTGCTTCCTCCGCCTTGAGTGAGAGATGCTGACAGGTTGTCTTAGCATTTGGCTAACGTGCTGCTTTGTTTTCTTTCCCATAACCTCTCTTCCTTCTTACCAAAACCCAAACACTGGGCTATTATATAGCACCTGCTGAGAACCTGCCCAACATTGCTGATGGCCCATGTCAGGGGTCTTTTGACCATGAATATCCTAAAATAAGCCGGTTCTACCTGCCTGGAGGGTCTTGGTTCATCTGACCCTTGATACACCCGGAGGTAGTGCTGGTGGACACACATGTTGAGGGCCTTGGAGTGCTAATGATTCTTTTGTTTTAAATATAGAACAAGTATTTAAAAAAAAATTTTTTTTTTTTTAAATTTTTGAGAGACAGAGCGTGAGTGGGAGAGGGGCAGAGAGAGGCGGAGTCATGGAATCAGAAGCAGGCTCCAGACTCTGAGCTGTCAGTGCAGAGCCCGACGCGGGGCTCGAACTCATGAACTGTGAGATCATGACCTGAGCCGAAGCTGGCCGCTTAACCGACTG